TTTCACTACTTTTTGCAATAGCTTTATAAATTTTTTCATAATCAGTTATAACTTTTGGATTAGTGTCGTCTGGTGTAGAATAATAACTAGAGAGTGAAGAGAAATTGCTGAAATTACGGAAATTAGATGTTGTTTGCTCTGTTAACCTGGAAACGATAATACCTGGGAAAAATTATCAAATAATTTATTAAATAAATATAAGTATATCGATAAAAAAGATAATAAACATAATATAAAACATAATATAATATACGTATAAAACATAATATATAAAACATAATATGCGTATAAAACATAATATATAAAACATAATATATAAAACATAATATACGTATAAAGCATAATATATAAAACATAATATAAACATAATATACGTATAAAACATAATATATAAAACATAATATAAACATAATATAAAACATAATATAAAAACGGAATGTAGAGATACATACCAGGTTCAATTAAAGCAAAATGAATTCCCATGTCTTTAGTTTCCATTCTCCAAATGCGAGTTGTAATTCTAACGGCAGCTTTAGTTGCAGAATAAATACCCATAGATGGTACATTTACCCAAGCAGCAACGCTCCCAATGTTAATCACACGACCACCACTTCTTCTTAAAAGGGGCAAGAATTTTTTTGTAAGATTAACAATACTAAAATAATTTGTATTAAAACTATTTATAAAAGCATCTTCCGAAGCAATTTCCATTGGTAAATAGACAACCATGCCAGCGTTATTGATTAAAGCAACAAAAGGAATTTCATAACCAATGATTGATTGAATATGATCATAAGCATTTTGAATATGATCTTTATTTGTAACATCTAAAATAATGGGAAGAATTCGACCTTCTTTGGGATTATCGCATTCACGAAAAGATGCAAGAAGATCTTCTGCATCATCTTTTTTTCTGACACCAGCAAATACTGTATACCCAAGTTTCGCAAGAGTAAAGGCGGTTTCACGACCAATTCCAGCTGAAGTACCAGTTATAAGAACTGCAGGATGAAAATTTTCGGTGGGAATATGAACTTGTAAAGGTTTTTGTCTAAATAAAAAACAAAAAATGGTGTTGTAAATAGAAGAGATATAGTCTAAAAAATGACTAAGCTGGATAAACACTTTGTTGAATACGGTGGGTGACATTTTTTTTTATTTTATTTTTGTTTGTTTGTTTGATGAGAAAAATTAGCGTAAAATGCAATGAAAAATACCAGGGTATTTTACATTCCACTTAGTGTTAAGGGGTTAATAAATTTCCACCACTACTTGTAGAGATTTGCTCGCGTAACGTTAAACGAATACTTAAAAATATTAATGACTGGCAAAAACGGTGGATTTGGTGAATTTGGTGAATTTGGAGAATTTGGTCGAGGTGGATAAGTATCTTCAAATCCTTTACTGTATCTTTTATTGCAATCTTTTAATAATTTTCCTTATGTTATCTTTGGATTCTCAAGTCTGGTTCAACTTTCCAACAAATTCTTATTTCGACATCGATCATATGTGAATTAGCAAAAATAAGCTTCAAGTTCCCCGGTACTTGGGTAAAGTATATCATTTCAATGATCGTTCTAAGTAATGGGTCACAAAGCATATGTTTTATTCATTCAAGCAGTGCCAAATAAACTCAAGATCGAAGTTCTTTATTTCTTTATTTATTCTTTATTTATTTAGAAAACCCAAAAGGTTTGCCTCCAACCACATATATACGTATATCGTAAATCTTAACAATATTGCACTACGATGATCAATTCTAATACAGGTGACCCGCGGTAATATAATATCAACCTAAGCCACGAGACGTTTAATTTTAGCCAATCTTCGACCCCGGCACAAATCAAGGGGCATTTCCATCGCATTTTACGGTATTGCATGTTACAGTAATATTCATACATGCGCAATCATGCGGGTCTACCATGAGAATAGATGTTTCAAAAAAATTGAAAACATGTGAATAGTACTAGATTAAAAAATATATATATATGGTATATATCAAATTTTTTTTGCAAGAATTTATTTATTTATTTTAGTTTATTTTTGTTAGAGTGCAGAAGCTGTTTCATAAGCGAAGGCATAATTCTCAAATCACACCTGATTTTGAAATTTGATTGGATGGTAAGTCACGTTCTCCATAAGATTTCACATGAGATTATCTTGAGATTATCATTACTCTTTAAATATTATATATCTGTGATTGGCTAGAAATTATTTTATTATCGATATAACTTCTACTCGTCTGTAGAATTTAAAAATAGCTTTGAACAATAAAAATAAATAGATTATTTTCAAGATTCCTTCGCTCAAAGTTTTATTGTTGCATGATCAACTAACTATAAGATCTAATATACAAATATTATATATGCAGTTATCCTCCTCTATAATGACGCAGTCCGTATCATGCAAATTGTGTGATTACAGTATATAACGGTTTTTACTATGATGTGCTTATAAGTTTATTAGTAAAGTGTTGTAGTGATTATAAAAAGGGATTTCTATAATGTAATTAGAATGTAATTATATAGGAGGTGACTATCGCTATAGAATTATTTTTATTTGATTTCTGTATGGTAGGCGATCATCTGATGTTTGTCATCATTCAAAGTTAAAAAGTTTGATCAAGCTAATTCAGGTGTTTATGTTGAACATTATAATCATAATCATATTGACATTATATATATAGTTTATAGATCGATCTAAAATTTGAAATTTTAAGATCTCACAACGTGATCAAGACAGGTAAATGATCTAACATGGTCGATACCCGTTTCTAGTAATAATTAGAGTTTCCATAGGATGAAACATAGGTCTATACTTGTTAATTTCACCACTCTGAATATTGCTCTGAATATTGCTCTGAATATTGCTCTGAATATTGCTCTGAATATTGCTCTGAATATTGCTCTGAATATTGCTCTG